AGGAAAGCTATTGTTTAGGAATTCGCAAAGACAAAATTAGTTTTTATGAAAAAAAAAAAAAATAATAATAATGTTTTGGCCAATTTCAAGCTAATACAATTTTGGAGGTAATTGAAGTAACAAGAAATATTATCGAACATCAATGTTTAATGGACGTCTAATGGATAAGGTGATAAACTTTTTGTCAAATCTGAACTTAAATAATATAACAAAACTGAAGAGTTTGTATGTTTGAAGTTTGAACATGCTAACTGATAGACCTATTTCAATAAAAGTGTTTCAATAGATGCACAGGAGTGTTTTTCGCCTCGTTTTTTAACTCCTATAGATTTTTACTGAGTGGTTCATACATGAATTTAGTTTTGGCTCACAAAAATCGAATCTTTTTTTTAACAACCAATTTTTAGAAATAATACTTAGAGATATCAAAAAAAAATCTTAGATAATTATTGAAACACGTTCGAAAATATTTAAAGTGCTGATTGACCATCTCAGTAGAATTAGTTCACTAAGTCACAAAGTTACGACTACAGTTTTCTACAAAATAGTTTATTTCATGCAGTAGTCACAGCAGGTACAGAAATACATGAATTAATAATAATAATAAATGTACTCGTTCACAGCAACAATTGTAACAACAATTGTAACATTCGGACGCGATGAAATTCATATTATTATTTGTGAATTAACGTGAGAATCAAACCGTACGCTGAGTGATAGAGAGATTAACAATACTTTTAAGTAGACCACGTGTACTATCGTGGCCCATATACATATAAATATATGCTTTCTAGCTGTATAGGTCACTGTGCGATATTGTACTCGAATAATAATTATTGATCCGCTGGACCGTATTATTATAATTTTTTATTTGTTTTATCGCATCGACAAAAACGTGTCTACCGGAAACATATCATACTATTTTGTTGTAACTATAAAGTGCGTCGGAAATCGAAAATAAATTAATAAATAAATAAATAAATAACAATAGCAATAATTATTATATTAGACGAAATGTCATTGTTTGAGTTTCGCATTGTTCCCAGCAGGTACATGCCGTGGGTATATACTGTAGTAATATAATTACCTGTATAATGTGCAATAGTATGTATATCAATTGTATCTCCATTTATGCTTTCATAATGATATGGTGTTTTAATCCAAGCACGTTATTGGGAGGGAGAGCTATTCAACCGAATTATACAACTGTGTAAAGTATTTTTTCAATGAATTCGTTTATCAATGAAATAATTTATACAGTCGCTATATGTAGGACGTAACTACTAACTACAAAATAAGTATTTTAAAACCAACGTCCAATTTTCAGCTGCTATTGATTTTGCTAATAATTACTCTTGTAATCGTTGTGTAATATTTGCTTAGTTAACAATTTCACTGGAAAATTAAATGATATGTAAATATTATTTAATTCAAAACGTCCACCGTGGCCAGCCAATGGTGCTCAAACAGTCAAACCTATACGAGTTGTGAAATAACCGACTCGTTCATTAATTTAGAATAACTGTAAGACTCACTGAGATTTTCTGTCAAACTCAAGATTTTAATACATTCTAATACCCAGTTTATTCAGCATACCTGACTTAAACTCTATTTACAGCCATTTATAGTTCATCTCCACAATTTCATCATACCTACATATAGGTACTGTTCTATTCATTTACGTTGAATTCGAAGAGTGGGTACTTAGAATCCATATCTGTTCTAAGGAATGTCCTTGGACATTGAACATCAACTTGCAATAATACTTTAAGACTCATTGAGATTTTACATCGAACATAAGACTATATTATAATATTTGCAATATCTAATTTATACGTTCGACGTACCTAAACTTACCTCTATTTACAGTCATTTATCGTCCATCGCCTCAATTTATTTATTTATTTCATCATGCATATTGTTCCATTCATTACGTCGAATCCGCCGAGTACTTAGATTTTACAACTGCTTTAAAGAATGTTTTTGGACATGGATGTTGTAAAGTATGATTTAATAATATAGATATAGATACACGTAAACAATCATGGGTGTTTCAAACACGATGTTTCGCTAAAATAAAACGTCCCATATTACCAGAATAATTTGAAGACCGAAAACATGGTTATTTCCCGTTGATGCATCCGGAAAATATTGCCAATATGCACGTTAACGTAATAATACACATGTTTATTTTTATCGTACACATATATAATACTGCACACACACACACACCACATATATATATATATATGTAAACGCGCACTAAAAACAGTGATCACGATTGTTTTAACCTATGCCATCGGCCAATTAAATAAAATAATTGCATACCGCACGGCTCGAAAAAAAAAACCTTAAAGTCAATGCCCGTATCGAGTGTATATTATGGTAAACTAATAAGTAATAATATATAATATATCTGTATATATAGGTACTTAATGCACCGCATTGAAAACAAAACAAAAAAAGACGATCGTGACTTCGCCCCACGCCGTTTTAAACCATTATCATTACAATATGAGAGTAATAATATAATAACGCGAGGACCGCGTCTCGTCGATTTATATACATATATTATAAATGCGCACCGTGTGGGACGAAAGACTTGGGTGCATCTCGGCCATTATAACTTGTACACTATATATATATATATATACGTACTCGGTCGTGAGCGTCACCCCAAAAACTTCTCTCGTGTGTGCTCGGTATAACATATACCATATTATACCGCATTGTACGACGATATTTACTCACCGCAGTGTGGTCCGGAGACTTCAACCCCCTCGCCCCCGACGGCAGTAATGGTTGTAGTCGACGTTCGTGTTTCACGTCTCGCATGCGTCTGCAAGCAGCGACCGACGCAACATAATAATGTTTGTTTGTCCGTATTTATATACAATACGGAAGATCAAATTATATTTCAAAAGAAGAGTCTCTGCGCAGCGTTTCGGATCTTCGACGCGGCCACGAAATCGTTATTAGCTCGGCGGCGTCGTCTGTCGCGGTGTGTGACCTTTATTGTTTATTGTCTTTTCAGCTCTTATAACAACACTCGCGAGACCTTGACGGCACGCGGCACTTACCACAGACTGATGACAACGACGACGGCGAAGACGATGATGATGATGATGATGATGCCCGATGGTCATTAAACACGATAATGACTGTTGACCTTTTATTTGGATTTTTTTTTTCCATTCGGTCGTGCGATTAACGTATTTGTTACAGCCGTATTGAACTTTATACACCATCACTGTACGACTTTCTCCTTAACAGAATTTTATATTTTTAACTATAATTCTCTACGATTAATTACGGGTTTTTTAGCACATTGTTTTATTTTTAACCTCTAAAGTCTAAATAACATGTAATTACGTCACGTTGACTTAAAACTCTGCGGTAACCTTTCACGGGTACATATAATATCTCATGCATATACTTAATTAATTGCAGGAAAAAGTAAACAATATATAAACTTTGTAATTTATATATTAGAAACTTAGTTATCGGTACCTATATTTACTCGATTTTTCAATTGATCTCTGCGAATAAAATGTGATGAAAGTGAAATCGATTGTCATCGGATCTCTCACGTCAAACCGTTTGACTATCAAAATGAACAGTGGGTAGATATAAAGTAATTTTACAGTAAACACCGATGGACCCTATGATATGCAAATGTCTGCTATATTAACAAAGTTAGATCCGTTAAATTGTATATAGTACATAGAAGTCTTGCAACCACATTGATGGCGGAGGTAATAGTTTTGAGTTTATATTCCTAAACAACTTTGGCGAAATCTCAAATTTGCAATACAAGATATATAGATAGGTATCTTGATTATGATATATTGACGATTAGAATCGTCCGTTGTAGTAGGCCCTTCGCCCTTTTCTACGCTCTTGCACAAAAAAATGTGGCACATACTTATACATTCCATAGGTACATAATATACTCTGTTTAAGGGGAGTACCTACCCACCGATTTTGAGCATCCTTTCCCTGCTATAGAAAACAGGCGCCCCTATGGTATGATGTCGCTTGGAGGGCCCCAAAAGAATCGATTTTGACAGAATACAGAATAAACAGAATGGAGCATTACAATTTTTGATCCATCGAACTTTTCAATACTTAATCTCCGTTTCACAGTAACCTTGATTTTTGAATCGCTTCTATAGTAAACATACTGTTGCTTATAAAAATATGATTTTTTTTTAAATGTATGTAAAGAATAAATAATTCTTTAAATTCTATTATACCGCGCTCTGCACGGTTAGTGTGGTTGTAACTTGTAAGGTGATTAGTGATAACAGTAATAATATTAATAGTGATAAGCAATATATGATAAAATGAAATATGTAATACCTAGTTATATAGTTGTAGTTTAGGAATTGACATTTTATTGAAGAACAAACATTTATTGTCGTTTCTTTATATTTAGGTAAGTTCTGTATATAATATAAATAATATGTAATAATAATAAATAAAATCTTTATATTTAGAGCAACACATTATTGGTTTGATTTGTTTGTGGTCAATTCCTGGATAAATATCGTAAAAGTCTTATATGTATATTACCTGTTGTTCACTTCTGCTTGGAGCACTAAGAAGACGCGTAGAAGTGTCCTGGCAAAGTGTATTCTTTTCTTGTGTTTTTATACTTGCGATAATCTATCAAAACATTTTTGATCGTGATTTGGGCTTCTTCGGTCATAAAAAAAACGTATGTTAGCTTTGTTTGGCTTACTCTTAGTCTGTTTATAACTGATTCATTTTTTTGCATGCTATTTATTCTTATACCTAGTTATAATATTATTACTAAGTAGTAGATAATATGGTTTAGTCAGCAGTTCGCAGACGATGGCCACGATGACGTATCCATGACAACTCAAGCAACCAGTCGTGGTCCCAGCGCGTCTCGTTATTTTGTATCCTTATAACCATCTTCATTTCTAATTGTATTGGTCATAATAATATACTATTAGAAAGAGACTAGACCAAAGATGAATGGCAATGAGTTCCGAAGTGACTGCTCCGAAAACCAACTGACCCCTACCACCTCCATGGTTTCCTCACGCCCGTCGACTAGAGCGACGAATCGCAGCAAAAGATGTGCACCTCGGATACGGTGGCTTGATGAAGACGAATGTAAGTCTCTGAGATATGACGATGGAGCCATAACAAAGCAGACCTCGGCCAGACCGACCATACACCGTTCTGTGGCGTCGACGGACTTGACCAGTAATCTCAAATTTTAGTACTTCTATATATGCAACACAAAAATTCAAAATGTTCTCGTATATATCGAGAGAAACAAAACTGATTTTCTATCATTTTGATTACTACCTATATTGTGACCAATTGTTGGTAAGAAAAATAATTTTAGTTTATAAATTCTATAAATCGATAAGGTTGGCTGCGACAAATTTGAAAAAAAAAATGGAATTTGGTGATATAGGTTCTCGACGACTGTTTAACAATTACAGTTAGAGTGTATTCTAAAATGCTTTATATACTTACAATTTACTGCTTTGTCCCTCTTCTAAACCGTTAGTGAACACAACAATCGGGTTGATTAATCGTCATTCTTCGTGTAATAATGACATTGTATTACATACCGCTATTATATAGTTTATAATATAGTACACGTTTGATGACTTGATGTGTATATAATATTATTATGATATACCTACGAGGAGTTATAAATGTATTATGATATAATTTATATCGTATTATGGTATGAATATTGTGGTCGTACCGTGATCTAGGTACATAGTACCTATAATATATGTGTACATATATCGCACTATTTTTTCTCATATTTTTGATAATAGCTAATTACATACATTTGTTATCAAAGGCCTTGGGGTATTTATGTCGTTGCACAATAATATTATAGGTATTATGCTACGGAAATATAAATTTAAAACAACGTTCTCGGTACTGTTTTATATTATTTTCTACAATATAACTTTGAAAACAATTTTTTACTTTGTTGTAAATATTTTTGTTTATAAAACGATTTTTTGTATATGATGGGAAAAAACACAGACTCTATATCAAACCTTATTTAGTTTTACGAACCACAGGAGATGGAAGTTTTTTATAATGTTTTGTTTGGTATAATGTTTACGGAAAATTATGGTTAGATTATTTATCCAGATAAATATAATATCTTATTTAGTATTTACTTTATGATGAACGCGTCTCGTATTTCACTTGGGTAATAATAGTGATAATAGTATAACAACAGAACCACGGTTACTATTGGGTAACTCGAACGTACTTAGATGCAGACGACGATCGCCCGTAAATCCGCATTGGATTTAAGTACTACCGATTCGAAAGACGTTTTTCTTCTCACTTTTCGGAACCGGAATCGTGCGAGATGGGAAGCGCAAATCCCGCCCGATGTACGATCGTCTCGGTGAACTCGATATGCAAATTATATTATTATTATAGTTCCACCACCCGCTGCCCCTACGAATCAAAATCGCATCCGATCGGATATTGTGCGTGCGACGACTGTGTTTTGCGTATTATTTCACGCCGAGTATGGAATATTGAGCAAGCCATGCTAGTAACTATAGGAATTAATTTGTAACCAATTTGTATTGCACATTTTTACAACCTCACTCGTAGTGCAGCATCGTTCTTGCGGACAGCATTCCAATAATATTGCACCCTACAAAAGGTCATGATAATAATTATATTACGTCTTAATATCTGATAATAGGTAATGTATTGTATTTAACGTAGGTGAGTGAAATGCGTCTTGCGACTGCTTTGCGTCGATCGTCATAACATATACCATGTATTTGGTATGAGTATCAAAGGATTATTATACTATCGTTCCAGTTCATATTGCCGATCGTGTCTATAATATGTTCGGCATTTCATTACCTATTTAATGTTATCGATTATTTATTCAAGTCAAACCTAAGTTTTGGTCGAACTTCTATTGTTTCGTAGCAGAGCACTTATTGAGGTTGCACCTAATGTTATGTGCAGAGTGAACGCAAACTGTACTTTTTTTTTCTAAAACTTGGCTCGAATTATGCAAAACTAAAAAATGCATGTATTTTTACACTACGCCGCCGTATAAATAGATGCGATGTGCATTATTTTTTTTACTTTCTCACTTTACTCGAAATCGACTCTGTGCGTCTTCTCCGCTTCATATTTCTGATTTCACTATACGAAAGTAACTACTCATATCACCGAAAAGTAAACAAAATTGTCGCTATACCGTCATAATATTATATATTATGTACGCTGCAGCCTGTAGCTTTCTTTGATAATATATCTTTCTGGAGTTATATTGGTTTTGCCAAAAATAAAGGTGTCATACTATAGGTATTATATATGTATAGTATTTTACTCCAGTGACTTTTGAAATCTATTATCGCTTTCGGTTTTCTGACTTGGTATGACGTGATTTAGGTGCCTTACAGTCATTCTGCCCTTCCGACACTATTTATATTTTATTACCGGTGCTATGCCGGTGAAAAAAAGGGTCATTCCGGTACGCATTTTTCGAAAACCCGATCGCGTATTATAATAATATGCGATGAACCTTTTTTCAAATTTTTTTCGTTCAATTTTTACAACCGAGCATCCGAGCACTGACTTGACAAATGCGTGTCTGCGCGTATATTTTATACCTTATAATATATTCGTTCTTCGTTCATATAAAACCGTATTTAAATATGAATTGTACTACCATCCTCGCTGAAGCTATCCAAAACACGTCCCTCCTCCCCGCCCCCCCCCCTTACCGTAGAACATCCATATTCCGTGAGTACCTATATATTATATTATGTTATATAATTATCAAGCGGCGATTAAAAGTTTCTAAAAACACGAAACTGTTTAAACGTCCGCGGAAATAACTTAATAAAAAGTTTGTCTCGCGCGCGCACTGATTATTATAATATCATCCGGATGAAAATCCAAGAGCCATTAAAACGATATTTCCGGGACAAAAGTTTTCGTCGGACGTTGTAAATAATATATATTCAATGGTGTAAACATAAGTCTCGTTGAAATATTACAGTGCGTAAGTAGTACAAGTATTGCGCAGCCGGCTGTCGACTGTTCAATTATAAAACGATTCCTTAAAATAATATTGTGAATTATGTGCTTCGTAAATTGTAAGTCTAGATATACTGCGTACTACATTTCTCGCGAAAACACTGTATAATAGTTTTGCATATTTTATTTCATTTTGAGTCGCAGTTTAAATCACGAAATGAATAACGGTGGCATCGAAATTCTTAAGCCCAGTTGGCCTTCCCGATTAGTACACGCCTAGTATATTTTATATCAATTAATTATATTGTTCTCCCAAAAAAGTTAAATATTAGCCGTCACTCATAGATCTCTACATATCACGGTATGTTACTTAGTCTAAACATGTCGATGGTAACTATACCGTGTTCGCATTTGTGTTATAAACTGCAGGAGCGGCCTGCAGAGGAGTCGGAGGTCCGTACGATACTGACCAAAGCTCGGAACCGGATACCGGAAGCGCAGTAGCCAGCTGTTCGGAGATTCAGCAGTGCAGCGAGCGGTATGGTCTGGTGGCAACCCCTGGATGTGCCGGTACGTTTAAAATGTCCATCGTTTCCGATGCCTTTTTCGGACCGGAAGTGGAATGTTTAATAGAGTTCAAGGTGTGGAAGACTATGGCGAGTCCCGAACTAAAGAGGCTATGGTTTACGGTCAGACATGCGATGTCACCAGCGGCCGCCACTGCCATACAAACCCTGGAAGTCTGGACAGACCGGAAAGACGGCTGCCCGGCTAAAGTGGTGTTTTTGCAGAAATGATCACACTCACATATATACAATAAGCTGTTTTTGATCATGAAGTGGAAAACTCTTGATAACGAATGTTTGTTTTCTCTCTATGACCGTGTTCAACATGGTGAATTCGCGACCACCGGAACCAATCATGAATTTACTATCAAACTTATGGTTGAAAACATTATCTGTTTTAAAATGTTTTTGCGATTAGATAAATGAGATCGTTTTTAATTTATAATATAATATAAGCGCCTAACTTTTCAATATCATGTAAAATCCAACATATGCCACAGATAATGAACATTTATTTTGACAGTTTGTCAATATAAATTAAATTATAATAATTATTATTATTATTATAATAGACGTTAAACAACAAATTACTGATTTTGTTAAGCTCATATTTCCTATATCCTTCTAATTAAATTACGATTTCCCAAGTATTTTGAAACAATATTAATTTGAAAGATTAATAACATATGTTTCGGTTACCTATACCAATCATATTATTGTAGTTGAATTTTCACATATACCGAGAACCAATTATTTGAAAGATTATGGGTACCAACATTTTTTTTTAAAAATACGTGATATAAGTATCACATTGCGTACACTAAGTTATAGAATTCTTTAATATTTCTATTACATAAATTATTATTATTATTATTATTATTCATCGAATCTACAAACAAAAATATTTCAACAACTACATTGACTGGCTTAATGACAACATCTATTTAAATTTTATTTTATTTTTTGTTGTTGATACTCTATTCCAGTGGTGCCCAACCTTTTTTCCCCGGCGGTCCACTTTCATAAACAATTATCTTCAAACGGGCCACCAAATATAAAAGTACGAAAAAGTTTAGCAAGATTCTAGATTTACAGAACAGTGGAAAGTTCTAAATTTTAGATTTCACTTTCATTATGAAATTCAGTTTAGAGCTTGAATGTAATAATAATCAAGCTTAGGCGTAGCGAAATAAAAATTTTAAGTTAAGTTAATTTTAAATTAACTTTTTGAAATTTAATTTTCATTGGCTTTATTTTTGACTTACTGATTTGAATTGATGTAGGTACACTCTAATAAATAACGAGTTACTTTTAATCAAATTCATTTACCTTAATTTATAAATAATTAAATAATAAATAGAATACAATTATTATTATTGATGATACATATTGCATAAGCATATTTTACTTTTTAATATTTTAAACCATATAACTGGCTACTTATATTATACTAAACTAAAAAAAATAATAACTGAACTAAGTTAATAAGATAATATTGTCAGTTTACAAATAACTTTTAATTTAGCTGAGTTAAGAAACACATTAAGATAACTACTATTAATTTTAAGCTCTTTAAATTTTTTCTATCAACTTAACATAACTTAATTAACAAATATCGTCAACTTGCCCAGGCTTGACAATAACTTTTATGGTGTAAATATAAAGTCAAGTTTTTGACTTCTGGTAATTAATAATAATTATAGCCTTGAAAAAAATAATACTTGACTTATTTAAAATATACCAATATTGTGGTGTTTGAACAAAATTGTGGTGGAGGGGGGTGAAAAATTGTCTATATTCCGGAATTCCAAAAAAACCAAAAGGTAACAAATTCATAGAGTTCAAATGTGATGTATGGTTTGATGTTGTAGCAGTAAGTGCTCTGCTGGTATGAACTTGACGGACGTAAAAAAAAATTTGCGTAACGAATGGCTATTGTTGTACTTGTAGTCCTCTCAACAGTTCAAACTTCAAACTTAAAACTATTTATAAAAGCTGACATTACTTTAAAAAAATATATACTCGGTCAACGAGAATAAAATATATTCTCATCTTACATGATGTGGTCTCCGCACCTATGTAGGTATGGTATAATATTATATAATGGAATAACAAAAGGTTTGGGGAATTCGGTAAAAGTTTGCTATTACCATGCTGAGAATTTTACACACACCTATACCTAAACAAATTCCAACTTCATGTATTATAAATTACACAACTGAAACTTTACTTCAACTACTATAAACTATATAATATAATTTTAGATTGTAAAATTCTCGTTATTGTTTGTTGTCTATTGACGGAAAACTATTTCTATACAATTTGTATTCATTATTCGTCACTGAAAATCAGAAAATGTAACAATAAGGTCAGTGTTTAAAATTAAACAAACAGCGGTGCCTATATATAACGTCATAATCGCGAGTATAAACGCTGAACATAAAAAATCGAAACCATTATCATAAATTACACTATCGAAACTCAGTCAAGTAGTTATATAGCTGTATATAATCGTGTTTTTTTGTTTTAAGAACAATGCAAATTTTACAATCGTAGCTTTGGAAACCCGATAAATAATTGTTTGTTTCTAGCAGTATTAAATAAAAGAAAACTAATTAGAAGTGGAATATAATAAGCATTTTATTAACATCGACTCCAAGATTAGTTATTTAAGCCCCCATTCTATTGTTCGCAAAGTTCCGAACGAAATTGTCGAATACATTTAAAGCGTTTTGTTAGTATAGTTTAAATTAAAGTAGCTGCTTGAAATCGTTAAACATCTAACTGTAAAATAAAAATTGTATACTTACGTAATTAAGTGTATACATATAGATAACCCATAAAAAGTACTTTATTATCTGCTGCAGTTTCAAAATAATTATTTTGATTATTGACAAAAATCAATACATGGCCACATAGGTATTAACATTCGGTTTGTATTTAACATTAAATACGCCAACGTTAATGTCAATAAACTAATAAGAGGAATTTAGTTAGTATTCCACATTTTCCAATCAAAATAGTATTGTTTTTTGAAATTCCTATTTTTATTTTAGTTTTTTTTTTAAGTTTAGCACTGTGTCTGTGTTTTCTGTATGTATAATATGTGAACACATTTGATAGTAGAAAACGCTTGTATCTTCAATTTTGAGGGCAGTTCAAAAATTGAGCCTAGTTGGTACTTTTGTGAATTTTAATTTGAAACCAGTTCTATTTTTATTTTGTTGTTATCAAACATGTATAATCGTAGACAATTGATGTTTCACAACATTTTCATATTAATATTTTTTATGCATATAATAATATTATATTTCAAAATATTTTGACTGTTTTTGAGCTTGATAGACATTTTAAATATTTTATTATTTGTATGGCAATGACAAATTGTTCACTTAGTCAAAACGCTTGAAAATGTAATACGAAGTTAAAAGTTTAAATAACTCGAATTAAACAAAAAAGCTGAGAATAGTTAAAATATTTTTTATGAACGTCTAGGTTCTAAAGTTTAAATTTTTATGGAATTAGATACTTATTCAGGTATAATATAACAATTTCTCCACAAATGATTTAAGATTTTTTTGTCATTAGAAACTTAAAACATCCCACTATTTCTTAAATTATCTTTTTCTTTATTCAACAAAATTTTCAAAACATTTAGACAAAATGTAATTAAACCTATTCATAGCCATTATTTAATTTTTCTTTAAACTGTGGAGTGATGATACATTTCAGGCAATTTGATAGTATAAATAATGTTTTACTAATTGATATTTTTCCTCTGCAAAAATAAATACTCAAAAACATGTCCACGATTCCTCGGTTTTCTAAAATATCCAATAACAGGCTGGTCATTTTTTTTTATTATTATATTTTATAAACAACATAGTAACATTTTCAAAAAAAATTAGATTAAAATAAATATTTCCTAAGACCCAACATTATTTTACGTCGTACCCCTCTGTCACACCACTCCTCTTGTATCCATACACTTTAAATACTCATAAAGTCATAACTTTACACAGTAATCATACACCAAACACACACACACACACACACACACACACAAACACACACACACACACACACACACACACACACACACACACACACACACACACACACACAACATACATACTGTGTGTATCAATAATATACATACATATTTCCCGTGCAGTATGATGATCTCTACCTAAAACGAGCTGCATGCAAATAATAATTACGTTTGAGTATCTTGTGGCCTTTTCTGTTTGTCTGCAAATAAACTGTGCGTACATACCTTGATATGGTATAATATATATATATATTTTACACAGTACCCATAAATTTACATGGCAAAATTACACATACAGCTGTCATTCGTGTAGTACACCCGTGGACATGGTTCACGAGAATAATGTAAAACATCAAACATATGATCTTATGATGCGAAACGATTGACATATTATACTTCCACGTATAATATATTATTATGCTAAATATTATTTATCATACTATTATTATTATTATTATGCGACGGGTTCGCTTTTGTGGATTGTTATTATTATATCAGCCATTCCGCGAGCGTGGTTACAAATATAATAATTATATAAATACCGACGGCATCAAATCGATGTCGACGGTGATGTTTCTTCGAGTAGGTGTGAAGTGGTATACATGGTTATCGGTTATAAATCGATTGTGTTTACCCGCACTTGACACGGATTCAATATCTAATAACAATAATGTATAATATTATTCGAAAATTAAATTACATCTCCCGCTTAAGAAATGCTGCTGCAGTGGCCACCGCTCTACAAAGTAATAATAATATAATCAGTCCATTGTCGTATTGTATTGTCGGTTGTAACTATCGTCTCACTGCAGTTGTACACGACGGTCGTTGATCAACATTTCTTTTTTTTTGTTTTCATTTGTTAGAAACGGTCAAACTTTATTATCTTCGTTTTGTCAGAGACTTTTTTTTCTTTATCTTACCCCATTCACGTTTGTTTTTTTTTCTCGCAGTTGTAAATTTGAACATTTGTGTTTCTTTGTAAATACATAAATTATGCGAGATGTAGAACACGGATCATTTCTCTTCTTTTTAATAAAACCATTATTTAGTCTACGACCATCATTCACTTCTTCTAAAGGCACAACTGATGAAATACGAAAATATGTTTTCGAACAAATCCCGTGGTTTTAAATATTTATACAATTATATATAGTTGCTTACAAGTACATATAACGGTATAAAAGTATTACTGCCGTTTACACCGAAATGCACCTCTCACGCAAATATTTGAAACCTCTTTTAAATGTTTCGTTTTTTTAACATTATAATATTATAGTCACTTATATACTTATAATGTTTATAAGT